CCGTTACTGTGGGTCGTGTGTCTATGTTTGTTTGGGTATGATTGCGCGTCAAACAAAGAGAATGCTCGAGTGAAATCCAGCAGGTTTCCGGGTCTCATCCTGAGGTGGTTTGTAATAATTAAACCTCCAGGAACATGAACCTAGATATGAGAGGATATGGAATACTTTACTGATGGCAAGTGGTGAATGTACATCAGCGACAGCTTCTGTTCTGAACGTGACTTCTGTGACAGCATATCTAAAGACGCCTTGAAAATGCGAGCGACAACCGCTCAATGCAAGTCTAACAAATCATCTAGCCTCCAGCAAACACCTGCGCTATGCCAAAGCAAACCATACATGAATATCATGTCTCTCATACAAATCGTAATTCGTGCCATCATTTTTACTACCGCTTCTTGTTCTTCTTCCCACCACCCGGTTGCGCGACAGATTTCAGCGCCGCATGTTCGGGATGCTTCTTCAAGTGCTGATGCAGTTGAGTCTTGGACGAGAAACCAGCGCTGCAGCCATTACACTTGTTTTTGATATCGGGCTCTTCGCTCTCAGCCTGTTTTGCAGCCTTCTTCATGCGCTTCAACGCAGCCTTGCCGAGCTTGGGTTCCGGTGGGGCGGTGACTTCTGGTTCTGTGGGATCTTCAGGTTTAAAGTCGAGATCTTCGGTGGGTGCTGTGGAGGGTTCTGTGCTGGCGCCAGCAAGTCGTGCTTCTATTTCGGAGCGCGAACTATATTCGTCGTCAACGTCTGAGCTTGTTTCTGAGTCGACGGGCGATGCAGAAATTGTATTACTAGGTGCCATTCGGTCCACATGGCCTTCTTCCTCGTCTGTAGTGTGGTCGTCTATGTCAAGCTCATTCGTCTTTGTCGCGAGGTTTTTCACGGATGCATCGGAGTCTCCACCACCAGAAACTTCGGGTTCCATCGCAAGCTCATCCTCTACCGGTAGAATCTCATCGCTTTTGAGGGCATCTTCGTCCAAATCCAGATGGGCGTTGTCCTTTTGCATCTTTTTCTTGAGAGCCTGGATTGCTTTCTGATGCTTCTTGCTCTTCTCATGGGCATCGTATTGCCGCTCGCTCTTGAAAGTCTTGTTACACGCAACGCATTCGTAGACGTCCTCCTCGACTTCACCTTCGCTTTCCTCTTCAAGTTCATCCGCCGGACGTGCGGTAGCCCAACTTGGCACCGCCTGCTCCTCCTGCTCCATCTTGGCGATCTGCGCAGCTCTTGCTCGTGCAGCCTGCGCTTTCCTAGCATCCCGCTGTGCTTTGGCCTTGTCCTCTGCCGTCTGTGTATTCGGAGTATACCGTGGGTCTCGCTTGCGTACGAACGCAACCAGCGTTCTGACCGCATCATTAAACGCCCTTCTGCCTTCGTCGCGGATCTTTTGGTTCTCCTTCTCAGCAGCCCTTCGATAGCGGCGATCAGGTTGAAGCGAGGGGTTGTATTCGTCCAACCATGCAAAACTTTTCACCGTGGCGAAGCCGTTCCATGCGGAATAGAAGTCGCGCACAACACCTTCGTACTCATCGTCCTTGTGCCCAAAGCTAGGGTAATCCGGTACATCAAGGTCGTCATAGTCAGCGGCATACTCCTCTTCGCGCGCAAGTTGCTCGAACGTCTCTCGTACGAAGCCAAAGAAGCCGTTCGGCGAGTCTGAGAAGTCCACATTCCCCCTGAACTTGCCCATCATCTGCGTTATGTCGTCGGCTGTCGTAACCTTCATGTCACCCTGGTAATGGTCGCTGGTCTCCTCGCCAGTAGTACCCCGCAGTATATCCCTCTCGTGTGCATCGTACCATGCGCGCTCCTGGTCATCTGAGAGAACTTCGTATGCGGATCGGACTTCGGCGAAGAGGGCAGTGGTACGTTCGACATCGCCGTAGTTTCGGTCGGGGTGCAGCTCGAGCGCTTTTTTGCGGTATGCCTTCTTGAGTCTTGTGGATGTTAGTATTGAATACGTTACGTGCGTCGTGTCACGTACTCGTCTTGGGTGGCATTGCGCTCCACACCCAGTAGTTCGTAGTAACTTGTCTTGACTTCGCCGGCATTACTAGGCGCGTCGCCGCCGCCGGTGGACTGTGATGCACCCATAGTGGCTTTGGCTCGATGCAGCTAGGTGTACGGTTCGGACGTATTCGAGATTTTCGGGTCTCGGACTACCTGCAGTGGCAGTGGCTGGATGCTGCAGTTCAGTTGTGTGGGCGTGTATGGGAGAGTGACAGCATATAAGTTTGTAGTGCAGCTTTCACAGCTTCTCGGTGCGCGTGCTGACAGCCTGCTATACACCGAGACTACCCCGGCTTTCACATCGTGTTAGTTGGGTGAGTCGCGAAGAGCCATGTTGCGTCACTGCAAGCAAATCGCCTATGACTGTGCGCTTGGCGTTGATTGGTCGCGGACTGCGAAGGCGAAAAGTTTGAGCAGACAGTGATTGAAGAAGAGCGCTATTGGAGCCACCGCAGTCTAGACAGCGCCGAAAGCCGGCACACGCCATGCTTTGATTTGCTTCATAAGAGAGGCGCATCCCCATGTCTTCGTGATGGCCTAAGACGAATCTCCATCGAATTCTGGGGTCTCCATTTAGCGGCATCCTTTCCAGGCACACAGGCGCATGACCCGCGGCGCAAATCGCCCTTGTTGACAAGTCGTAATTCTCTCACCCAACACCATTTCTTCCCCACCACCACACATCTGGGACTCTTTGACACTTCGTTCCCAATAATCCTTCTCTACTACACAGCCGCATCTGCATATTCCAGGGCGGTGATCGCTGGAACGCTTCGTTAGCCCGACCCGGAACTGTGGCCGAACAAGCGTGGAAGGTACCCCGCTAAGGGTCGCAACCACTCAGCTCCCCACGTGCCTCCTCTGCGCCTTCTGATCGGCCAGCCCTACCACGGTACCTCGTCAACCCTGCCCAAACATGAAGTTCGGCCATCTCTTCAAGCAGACTCTCCGGGATGAGGGCTTCCCGCCAGAGTGGGTCGACTCGGCTATCTCATACTCGCAGCTCAAGAAATGCATCAAGAGGCTTACCGACGAGCTGCGGCAAGTGGGCCTTGACCCTGCCACCTTGTCCAAACTACTCAAACATGTCGAAGACTACAATGCTTCTACCAGAGAAGACGATGATCAAGAACGACCTTTCGAGTACATTCTCAACCCCGACAGTGCCAAGGACAATGCATCGCCCTCGCGCAAGGCATTCCATCCAAAGCTCCTCTTCTACGTAAACGAGTCGAGCGGAGAGGTACTGAGTGCCCAGCTCGATGATGACACCAGACGCAAGCTTCAGATGCTGGCTGTTGAGACGGGCATGTCTGACATGCGCGTCTTGGACGACTCAAAATCGTCACTCCAATCCATCGACTCCATAGATCCATCCAATTCTATAACTACCACCCCGACCAATGCTTCTCGCAACCGACCAGGGTACCGTACAGTCGAGGTTCCCATCACCTCGGATACGGAGTTCTTCACCAGGCTTACCAGTGAAGTTACAGGACTGGAGAAGTTGCAGGAGCGGGAGCAAAAGCGAATGAATGTCCAAATCGAAGCATTAGGGAAGCAAGTTGCAAAATTGACGGATCCAGACCGAAGAGCCAACAGGAAAATGCTCACTGCTTGGCGTCAAATCTTCCAGATATACGTGGAAGAAGGCATCTTCTTTGGAACAACAGAGATGGACCACAAATCGCACGACTCGGAGAAGGCCATGGCGAGACTGGCAGGATTCTCAAATAAGATTGCCAAGGCTGGTTTAGTGGAACAACTGAAGAAGAAGGAGAATCTACAAGCACTGAACACCTTCATGCACATCAACCGGGAGATTCTCCAGGGCCTGCGATTCGGTGAGATCAACCATAATGCCATGATCAAGATCCTCAAGAGTAAATACCCCCATATCCTAACAAACATGGAGACGCTGAACTAACATGTCACTAGAATTCGATAAACGCACAGCGCTAGGCGTAAAGTCCACATTCCCACGTCAGGTAGAATACCCAGAATTCTCCGAACACCTCGCCAAAGCCGTCTGCGCAGAGGTCAACACACAGATTCTATCGCACGTCCCGCAGATAGACGACTACTCTTGCCCTATGTGCATGGAGATCCAATGGCGGCCCGTAAAGCTTAGCTGCAACCATACCTTCTGCATTCGATGCTTGATCGTCATGCAGAACAACAAGCAATACAACTGTCCGTTCTGCCGCGAGAAGACGGTCTTTGATGCGAATTCAGGTCAGCATGTCTCTGACTCATAGACGCCTTGGAACATCATGCTGACTTTGTGACTATAGACAACTTGGACACCGAACAAGCCGCCTTCCTTAAGAAATGGTTCCCAGAGGAAGTCAAGAACAAACAGCGGTACAACGAGATGATGGCAGGCGTGGACCAGTACGGAGAAGTGTATGCGACCGAAAAGTGCGTTGTAATGTAACGATCGCAACTTTCACGGGTCGCATGCTAAATCTGTGCCAAAGATTCCTGCGCGGTGGCTCCTTGTGGTAAGTCGTCTGCACCTTACATCCCAAAACAAGTTCGCTAACACATCATTAGGCACATGATTTGATTTCGTCTACAGGATTTGAGCGCTTTGCCAAGAGCTGTTTTGAGATTTTTACCCCAAAGATACCCAGCACATGTTGTGCATATACACTAGCCAATAGACTAATTCAACATATCTCTACTACCGTCATGTGTGATTTGAGCTGAGCATTTGATGACGCTAGAGAGTGAATTGCATCAGCACAGAGAAAGCAGCTGAGTGGTGACGGACTTCGTATGGAAGAAACTCCAGAAGGGAATTTGGATAATAAAGTAATAGATACGTGTATAAGGAACATCGTGCAGTAATGTGCTGCTACAACAGCGAAGCGCGTACCTTTCGATCTGTCTTTAGACAATAGTAAACGCCGTCCCTAGATGCAACCAAGTAATACGCTATGAAAGGAGAGAAAAGAAGATGCCAGTCTGAGGCTCGTTTAAAGAAATTATACACTGCGCTCCGGGCTTTCACCCTCGGCGACAACCGCCACACCCAGCCCCCGGTCGGGAGACTGGAGAACGAGTTGCTCGTGCCGCCTCGCACGGATGAAGTCCGATACACTTTTGATCAAGATGAACCAGCCAACAATCATCAGACCGTACGCTATCCAGTCACTGCCTGTAATGGCACTCGCTGCGGGTGTCATATCACTGCCCCCTGTGTTTCCACTGCCGACCTTGTCCGGGTCAAAGTCGTGCGCATTCGGGTCGTTTGGAACGCCACCGTCGAATCCCTGTCCGGGGTTATCGTTGCTACCGTTGTTCGGAGAGAGTACGGCGGAGCGGAATCCGAAACCGAACTGCACGAGCGTGATACCGAGACCAGCGCGGGATCCGTTCTTTGCGGCGTGGGTCGTGTGGAGGAGGTAGGTGAGAAGGAATCCGACGAGTTGGAAGGACATGGAGATCATGGCGTTCCAGAGGAAGCTGAAGAGGGAGCCGACGGGGAGGCCTTCGACAAAGACTTCATCGCCAAAAGTGCCGGGAGCGAGGATGGTGGTTTCCCAGTAGGGTGGTGTCGCGTCTGCGGCAGCTTGTTCATATGTCTGATGCATGTTAGCAGTGATTCACGCGACTTATCGATAGTCTGATACGTACTGGAGGCTTCTCCTCGGCATCCTCCCCTCTGGTAGGCTTTGCGCTGAGATTTGCCCAGACACCACCGTTTCCTCCACCGTACACCCGTCCTGGAGTGGGCGCTTGTGTGTTGAATACTGGCAGTTCCGTCACTCTCCTTTGGATGCCCGGTGGCGCCGCTTCCTCTTCTGTCCTCGGATTTCCCCGCATCAGCCGCTGCCGATCGTCGCGCCCATCGTTATCGTCGTCGTCATCCGAATCCGAGTCGAAGGTATCGGCGAGTGTGCGGTCTTCTTCGTTCGTTATCGGATCCTCGGATAGGAGATGCCGTGATGTGCCGTTTGGTGATGATGCGCGCGAGTGGAAGGAGGGTGGTGGCGAGGCCGGGGGCCACTGCTGGCCGGGTTGCAGCGTCTGGGGAGAGTCTTCTTCGTCTTGGGCGGCTACCTGGATTAACGCATTAGTGCTGTCGTTGCGAAAGCAATATAGGGGTTTCGCGCAGTCGCATGGTGGTCGGGATGGACCGGGGCAACGCACCCTCTCGTAGCCCTGGCTAGGCATGTTGCGCGGATAACCGGATGCGTGACGTGAAGGGGGCGATGGGATATCTGCTCTCGGGTGTCGTCGAGGCGGGGAGTCGTAGGAATAGGTAGGGCAGCGAGCGTGGACGAGAAGGACGGCGGTTGTAGGAGGGAGGTGCAGGTGGGTGGAGCGTGTCAGGCGGCAGGTGCAGTGGAGGAGGCGTTTCAAATGCAAGTTGCTCGCTTTTGGGCCATGCGACACGGCTGCTGCGCCACGATCCAATAGCGCCTGGACCCTGGTTACCGAAGCATCATCGACTTTGAGGCCGGACAAGGTGAAGAACTTCACTTTTTCTCAATTCACACACAGCCATGGCGAATACTGTGAGTATACAGCGCTGCATTGCAAAACAGTTAGCTGACATAGTCCAGATAACAAAGCAATACACCCGCCTCCTCACTCTCTGGCCAAAAGACGCTCTGCGCCCAAATTTACCCTTCACACGCGCAATCGAGCATCATGGCAAACCATTCGGCGTCCAACCCATAACACCCACCCCCGAAGAGGGCGCAAAGCCCCAAGCGCCCGCGCCCACAACACCGGCCGCATCTTCGCCGCCTGCGAATCCCAAGCTCGAGCAAGCCCAAGTAAACGCACTATTCTCGTTACTAGAGAACCGATATAGCACAAAGTATGCGCTATCACCGGGTGTACTGAAGCCAACATCTGCGCCGGAGCACTATACCAGACTGATGGAGGAGATCGAGCGGGCGCCTCAGAAGACATGGTGGGAGGCCAAACTGGATCAGTGGAAGATGAAGATTCGATGGTCTTGAGGAACGAATTTACGACCCTGTATTATACTGTGAAGAATGTAAAATAAGCACAACATGTCATGGACACCCGAACATGCCCTCGCTCGCCTTGTCCCGATACGGCAGGCGCGCTCGTCTCTTTATGGTTCAATCTGCTGCGCGACACTGCGTTCTCACCACTCATCTTCACTATCACCTTGCCTAGAGACGCTATGAAAATCCGCTCTAGCCATTCTTATTTACACTACTCTTTGCTCAACTTCCCCTCCAAAACACCGCGACAAAACCAACGACAACCGCCAATTAACTATCTTCTGCAGCGATGTCGGGACAGATTGAGGAACCGGCGATCGAATTCAAGTCTGAACATGGGCGAATCCTGCAGACAGAAGCCTTCGAGTGAGTTCTTCACTTCTTAGAAAGAACCAATATTGATAGCGTTTAGCCTCTTCGACACGATCACAATGAACGTTGGCAATGAGGGAACCAAGTTTCCGGTCCATGAAGCTGTCATCAGGAGAAGCTCAAAGTTCTTCGACAAGGCCATGAAGGAAGAGTGGGCAGCATCTCGTGTTGATGCGCGCACCGTCACTCTTGTCGACGAAGACCCGGCTATCTTCAAAATTTACCTTCATTGGTTGTACTTCAAGACATTCCCTACTGTCACCACGAAGAATACAGGGAGGTTCAATCATGAGACCGGTATGCTTGGCAAGAGCTACGTTATGGGAGAGATGCTCATGGATACTGCATTCAAAAACGCTGTCTTAGTCGCCTTCCGTGACGCCCTTCTCAATCAGCCTTTCTACAAGCCACTACGTCCCGGCTCCAGCATAGTCAAGACCATATACGATGGAACTCCGGAGGGATCCCCTGGCAGGCGCTTCATGGTTGATGTGTGGGTCAGAGAGGCGAAAGAGAATTGGGCTATTCACCTTGACGATATGCCGCTCGCCTTCACGCTGGACTTGTCAAAAGCGTTTATGGCATGTGCGAGGACACCCAATTCAAAGATGACCTCGTGGACAACAAGCATGAAGGACTTCATGGAGACATAGCTCTAGTCATGGTTGGCGGTCTGTGAGAGGGACTTACAAGCGTGGCGTATCGCACACATCGTCACCGCAAAGGTGAATTGTGGAGTCGGAGCAGCTGATGAAGGGATTGGAGATTGCAGAAGTAGTATGCTTCAGGGTGTTTTAGCATTTGCCCCCAAGTAGATGTAATGACAAGCAAGCCGGGCTCGCCTGATCTCGGGGTTCTGTCTAACCAGATCTGCGCTAGCCTGTGTCGAGACAAATCCACCTTCCAAGCAGCGTCACCCAACTGACCCTCCTGTCTCTAATTCACTTCGATCGCATCATGGACATAGCCCCTGGACGGCTGATTGAGCATCGAGCCTTACCCACTTTACCCACTGAACTATGGCTCACCATATTCGAGCATGTGGTCACCTACGACACCCACATTTTCTACCAGTCTCTCGAGTACAGAAGAGAACGAACGCGTGATCTACAAAGACTTCAGTATGTATGCAAGTCGTGGAAGGTACAACCAATCCCGAATTAACCCACGTTCTTCTTATCTGACCTCTCGCAGGACTTGGTAGAGCCACTTGTCTACCGCCATCTGTCGATCGACGGCAACAACTATCTAGCATCCAACCGCGTCACAGCTTTGGCCCATCTTCTTGACCATCCTATCGACTCCGATGCGCCGAAAGCTTCTTGGGTGCGCTCATTCTGGATCCAAAGAGATGAGGGCGTAAGCCCTACTGAACCAGCCTTGATGGCGTTGCAAGCTGCATTGCCCACTCTGCTCTCCCGCATGACGAACTTAAGCGAATTGTTTTGTCGTTTTGATCTCCAGCGTCCGCAAATCGCAGCTATTGTACACTCTCACGGCCCACAACTTACAAAGCTGTATATAATCATTGGACGTCGCCTCATCCGTATTCAGGAAGCGCTTTCTCTTTTAAAACATTGCACAGCCCTCAGAGACCTCCACCTGGGGGTTAGAGGCCGGACGCGCGGCTTGGACGATGTTGAATCATCTGAGTTCCCTCATCTGCGCTTGGTCGAGCTGGATGCAGAGTACGCCACTAATGAGCTAATAGGCTGGCTCACACACTCGGCTATGCCCAAGCTTTCAGCTTTTGCAATCCGGAAGCCGCACGATAGCTGGAGGAAATTGAGTAATCTGCCTGCTTTCATGGCAAAGTACGGTGCCGGCTTGAGAATGCTGCAATTTGACGATAGCCAACTGGCCAACATGTCCGAGGTCTTTGATCACACATCCTCTCTGGAAGTATTTGATACTTTCGATGCCACAGGGCCTCTCTGTGATGTCCCTGTATCAGTCACTCAGATTGTGCTTCGTCGGTTTCCAGAGAATATTGGTTACGGAGTTCAAACTCTAGAGTCATTGCTTCAGGTCGTCGGGTCGTTGCCGCCGGACAGGAAGTTACATGCCATTCGCATGTGTTCAATCAACGACGATCTCGAAAGAAAGCCATTTCTCTGGCGAGAGAAGATGAAAGTGGCGGACACGAGAAGGATGGAAACCTGGAAGAGGTTTAGGTATAATGTGAAGAAAATGCTAGACCTGGGCGTTTCACTTCTAGATCAACAGGGTGTTGCTCTCGCAAACGTCCTCATAGAGATGGGGGAGTTTCCAGAAGCGGATAGTGAAGAGGAAAGGGATGAAGAGAACGACGTTTAGGAATACTCGCGGTGTATGAATGATATGTTTCAGCAATCACCCTACATGGCCCGCGTAAAACCCTCACACTCTACATCCCAGTGCGACGGCCATACTGGCCCTTTATACCCATCCCAGCCACCACACATCATCCCCACCGCAAGCAGTAAGCCCGCTGAGCTCGGAAAATACGGCGTAGGCACTCTTGTTCCCCCCTCTGGCATTCCTACTTCATCAAAAGCATTGTTCACGTCAAGCAACTGACTAACAGCGCGTTCCGCATCTCCTCTCCTAGCTTCAGTGATTGCCAGCAACGGGAAATCCCAGCCGTAAGAAAAGGGAAAGTTCCAGGTCTCATGTACTTTGGTGATGGTGTTGTTGAAGATTGTCATGTTCACGCGAGTGTCTGGGGGCAACCAGCCATATATACCCAGAAGTCCTGGATGATCTTCCGTATATTCGGGGGTAGTCCACATATTTGGTATACCCTCATACGTCACATACGCGTTCTCTTCAATGGGGAAAGGCGCTAGGTTGTCTCGTACGTGTACCCAGGACTCCGGAGTAGATTTGTTTTGCCGCGCTTGCCACTTCGACGCTACGTCGAGACCAAAGCGCCAGTACGCTAGCTCGAACGTCGGATTAATCGTCTCGTTGGGATTAGTATTCTCAGAGACTGGATACATGGGCGGCCCAAGATCGTATTGATTCGTTGTGGAATTCCAGAAGGCATAACTGGCCATGAAGTCCGCCACGCCTGTCAGAACCTCATCCCATTTCTCGAGAGTCTTTTCGGTCGGGAAAGATCGGTATTCCATCTCGGCGAAGTACATGGGATGCGGTTGTTGCCAGATGAGTAGGCTGTTGATCTCGCCTGGCGCAGATCGACCGCTTGGGTCACTCATCTTGCCGAGGCGCGCGCCTTCGTATCCTTGCTTTTCAGCCCGTTCGAAGCTGCTGGGTAGAAAGCGCTCATAGACGCCGATACTGCGATCATAGAGGTCCCATTTCTCCCAGAACATCCAATGGGCTAGATGCCAGAAGACCATTTCCAGGTGAAATTTGCCGTACCATCCATTGTTCACCAAGCCAGACTCTTGTGGGGGATCTTTACCAGCCCCGTTGACCGCGAGAAGATACTGAGAAAGGATTGTGCGACGCTGTAGCTCATTCGCAGAGGCATTGTTGGCCGATGGAAGTGACACGAATGCACCAGTCGACCAGTAGTCTGCCCACCAGCTTTGTGACTTTTGCTTGACTGACTCTGCAGTGTAAGAGACATTGGCCACCCAAGGAGCGTATGTAACAGTGAAAGAGAGCGTCTCAGATCTCTGACTGGCGGCTAGGATGTATTTGTGCTCGTTTCTGTGCAGGCGCGAGAGGCGGGCATAACCTTCCCAAGCGATATCGGCCGTATATGTTGTTGCATCTAGTACATGCGTGATTGTCGCACCTTTGTTCCTGTATTCATCCGTCGTGGAATGGTTGGAAGTAGCGTTGAAGAGACCAACAAATGGTGCGTCGAACTTATTTTTCCCAGTCGCATACGGGAAATCGAAGAAAGCGCCCAGTCCTGCAGTCCTCACTAGGCTGGACGATATGTCTACAGCGATAGTGTCCGTTTCCGGACTTGCAACAGTTGTCACCACAACCTTTTCTCCGTTGATAAAGAAAGTGGATTTGATGACACCTTCCCAGAGCTCCAGCACCTGCTCTTTACCAGCAAGTAGGTCTTCGGTGACGTTCCCTCCTGCGATGCCGCCGAACCACAGTCCAACTCTTCCCAAATTAATACGATGTGGGTTCGCAATCATCCATTGACTGATGTCCTTCTGTTCTGGGTTGGGCTGCGCATAGTTGACGAGGCGATCGTGGGTCCACCAGTCAACACCGGTGTAGTCTGATGGAAGCGTTTGATTTGGTGTCGTTGGCAGAGATTGGTTGTGCCATCCCCAGGATGAAAGAGTATTGTGCGGCAGAAAGGTCTGGAGTCCGGTAATGTCTACACCGAACGCGAAGTTTCCGTTGCCAACCTGAACCGGGCTGTATGGGTTCGATTGGCTGAGCTTGATATTATACTGCTGGACAATCGACTTGCGATCGATTTTGCTCTCCACGACAGGCGATGTGAGAGAGAGTAAATATAGAACTTTGGCCCACTTCCCCAGTCGCAGTGGAAACATCATGGCTTCGTGATTCGTTAGCAACGCTTCTACCCGCTCGTCTTTATATAGCTTATGACGGCATCCTCTCCCGCCCTACTTTGATTAAGTCCCCGGTTGATCGTCCCCAGCGGCGGGGTCAACCTTTGATTGCATAGCGTCGGGATAAATACCACCGAACACGATGAGAAACAATCACGTCCTGCTACACATCAGCAATGCGATGAGTGATCAACCGGTGATGTGCGCAACCGAGAATGTGCCCAGGTGGGGCTGTGGACCACCGGCACGTGCACGCGCGTAGCACGCTAGTAGGCTTATCGATAACGATCTTGGGAAGAGCGGAAAAGTTTTGGCAACGTGAAACGCGGGTTCCAATCGCAACAACGAAGATGTCCAACGGAAAGAGCAGCGAACCAAAAGTTGACAGCGCGAAGGACCTCCCCGTGGAACTGAAGAAAGGCAAGAAGAGAAAGAGAGTTCAGCCAGCGAAAGATGGCTGGAGTGGCAAGAAGGGAGCCGGCGTGTTAATCAAGTTCGACCATTCCGATGATGACACCCCCAGTTCTACTGCAGAGCACCCTAAGCCCGTCGCCGAGCCCAAACGAACGGAAAGTGTTGTCGAAACTCCAGTTGCGCGGCAAGCAGAGGCCCACAAGCGCACGAAATTAGATGCACCTCAACCTATCAAACCTCAACCAAACCCCGGACAACAAGCTCGACCAAAGAACCAACAGGCCGACAGACCTCGTACCTCTCAACAAGACTTAAGAGTGCCGTCGCATGTCATTCAGAAGCGTGATGAGTTGCGGCTTGTCCGCAAGTCTCTTCCAATATGGCCTCAAGCGGACATCATCAGAGCAGCTCTGCAAAGAAACAACGTCCTCGTGCTGACCGGAGAGACTGGTTCCGGAAAATCGACACAAGTGCCGCAATTTTTGGCCAATGAGTCCTGGTGTACCGGGTGTATAGCGATCACGCAACCTCGAAGAGTGGCGGCGATCTCCCTGGCACGACGCGTCGCGGATGAGATGGGTAGCTTACTTGGCGACAAAGGCCCTACTGCCAAGGTTGGATACAGCGTTCGTTTCGACACTGCGGCTGGAAAGCACACCAAAGTCAAGTTTCTGACGGAGGGTATGCTGCTTCAAGAGATGCTCAGAGATCCCAACATGTTGCAGTACAGCGCGGTTGTAGTAGATGAGGTCCACGAAAGAAGTGTAAATGTCGACTTGATTCTTGGGTTCTTACGCAACCTGTTATCCGCTAAAGAAGGTAGCGTGGCGAGGAAGCATCCGCTCAAAGTCGTAGTAATGAGTGCTACGGCAGACGTGGAAAGTCTTGTCAAGTTCTTCGGAGACAGTCAGCCTGTGTCGAACACCGAGAAGGCGATCGCGAAACCTACTACGGAAAGTAAAGGAAACGTTTCGACATGCTTTGTAGAGGGGCGACAATACCCCGTCAAAACAGTATACTTGCCGCAACCAACACAGGACTGGGTCGAAGCAGCTCTCAAGCTCGTCTTCCAAATACATTACAAGGAGCCTCTGCCAGGCGACATACTGGTCTTTCTTACAGGTCAAGATACTATCGAGGGACTCGAAAAGCTCATCAACGACTATGCTGAAAATATGGACGACGACATCCCTAAACTTCTTGCGCTACCTCTTTTCGCCGCCCTTCCACAACACGCCCAACAGCGCATCTTCCAGCCAACGCCCTATCGCACGCGCCGCGTCATCCTCGCAACAAACATCGCCGAAACATCAGTCACTGTCCCTGGCGTCCGCTTTGTGATTGACTGCGGAAAATCGAAGATAAAGCAATTTCGCAGTCGCCTAGGTCTCGAATCGCTGCTTGTGAAGCCAATCTCCAAGTCTGCAGCTATCCAACGCAAAGGTCGAGCTGGTCGTGAAGCACCTGGCCAGTGTTATCGGTTGTATACTGAAAACGGTTACGAAACTATGGAAGAACGTACCACGCCCGAGATTCTGCGTTGCGACCTCAGTCAGGCTATTCTGACAATGAAGGCGCGAGGTGTCGATGACGTACTCGGCTTTCCATTCCTTGATCGGCCACCACGAGAAGCTCTAGAGAAGGCTCTTCTGCAACTACTGCACTTGCAAGCGTTGACAGACACCGGTGAAATCAGCGACATTGGTCTCAAAATTGCCAAGTTCCCGCTCACGCCCACGCTAGGCCGAGTGCTAGTCGAAGCAGCAAAGCCAGAGCGCGACTGCCTACTCGACGTGATCGATATCATATCCGCACTCAGCGTCGAGGAGGTCTTCCTGAATCTTGTCACGGAAGAGCGCAAGGAAGAGGCAGAGGAAGTCCGGCGTGAGCTATATCGTCGAGAAGGCGACCACCTCACACTTCTCATTACTGTTCAGCGATACGCCGCCGAACTGAAGTCACAGCGTCGCGCTTGGTGTGACAAGCACTACGTATCCCACCGCGCAATGGAGAACGTAATGAACATCAGGAAGCAACTGCGGGAACAATGTAGACAACAGAAGCTGCTATCGGCTGACGACACAGAGTCTGATAATGCACCTTCAGAAGCTAGGAGTCAAGCCATATTGGCATGCATGCTGCGCGGCTTCATCTCCAATACAGCGAGATTGATGCCAGATGGTAGCTACAAGACGATGATCGGTAACCAAACGGTGGCGATTCATCCCAGCTCAGTGCTATTTGGAAAGAAGTTGGAGGCTATCGTGTTTAACGAGTTTGTATTCACTGGCAAGGCGTGGGCGAAGCGTGTCAGTTCAGTCCAACTAGACTGGGTGTCTGAAGTAGTTGAAGCCATCATGTAAATTAGGCGATAGCGTTTTTATTTCTTCAACTAGACTTTTGTTCTTGAGCAATATGTGTACATGCCAAGCTTCAACTTCCGCAAGCTCGTCTCTGGTACTATCTTCTCCTCCCCACTCCAGCGCCTTCCTTATCCGCCAGACTAACGACCTCACCGATGCCCGCTGCCTCCTGTTCATCTTCAAGCGCACGAATCTCCTCCCTGCAATCCCACCACTTCTCCTCTGCCCTCTCGAATGCCATTTTCTTGACTTCTTTCGGGCTCTTCTCTGCGCTCTTTCCCTTCCTGTCCAACTCTTCCAGGATGATATTCTGCCACTGCTCTGAAGTGCGCGCGTAGAAGTCGCGCAAGGATTCGAAGGGACGGGGATGTGGAAGCGTGTCGGTGAGCGCAGATATCTCTTCCTGGGGACCAAGGTCTTCGGAGTGAATTGGTGCAACGGCAGGAGACTCTGTGACACTCGTGGGTGCTGTCGATACAGACTTGTCGTCCTCCTCACCTTCTTCTTCGTCCTCAGAGTCTTCTTCGTCTTCTTCGTCCGAGTCGGCTTCATCCTCACTGCCTTGCCAGTCTTCGAGCTCGCGCTTGAAGATTTCTGTGACACCATCCAGATGGTTGAGATTGACAGACCAGAGTTCGTCAAAGGTAAACTCGCGGTCGCCTTTCTCGTAGGTACCACCGTAGATATAGAGTGTATCAGCTTGAACCGTAAGTGCGGCGTTGAAACGTGGATGTGGGAACTCGAATATCTTCGGCTTCTCTGGACGTGCCTCTTCCTCTTCTTCCTCTTCCTTCGCTTTCTTCGCTTCGTCGTCAGAATCCGCATCTGTAACTACACCGGCTTTCATTTCGAGAGCCTTGAGATTAGCCAGCAGCTCTTCTTCTGCGGCCTTGCCACGATCCCGTCGGCTGATGTTCGCTTGCTGTGCAGCCTTTTTGTTTGCGTTCAGCTTCGGCCGACGTAGAGTGAGTGGCATATATCGGTTGCGCTCGACATTCCAGATGAACAGCTGATTGAAGAACTCAGAGTCAATGCCCTCTTCACTCTCTTCTACATCATGCACACCACCGAAAAGAACACCGCGACCCTTGTGGTAAGCCATTGTCGCACCTGCACGTGGTGGGTTTGGCGCATTCGCGGGCTTCTTTCGCTTGTCCCAAGAAACAGTTGGAAGGGTAGTGGATGGTTGATCAGCAGGTGGTGGTGTGATACGTATGAACCAGGTGTCGTCGTGAACCTTAGGCTTTAGCACCATGCGTGATGCCGGACCGCCACTGCTGCTCTTCTTGCCCTTGCCTTGTTGCTGTTGCTTGCCACCAGCTTGCGTCTTGACACGAGAGTAACCGCCATAGATGACTGCGCCTTGCTCGTGCGGCAACAAACTGAAACTCGACCGTGCATCTGGTACTGCGCGAGCTGCTTGCAGTTTTGGCGTGTGCCATGAGAAGTTGACGCAGTCGTAGATCCAAAGATCATTCAAGTATTTGGTAGTCGCAGACGTATCCTGGAAACCTCCAAATAAGATGATGTACTGTTTGAAGCCAACCATGCGATGTCCACTCCGTGCTGGTGGGGCAGCGGTCTTGCTCTTTCCCTCCATGCGCGTCCATTCTCGAGAGACCGGATCGAGCTTCCAGAAGTCGTTGTAGTGATAGAAGGTCCCTTGCTTCGGAGAGCTGAACTCTCCACCAAACAGGTAGATTTCTTTCGTGTTGGCAGCGCGACACCAAGCGTGTCCAGATCGAGGAAGTGGTGAGTTCGGACTTGTGACCTGCTTCCAAGAATCCTGCTTGACGTTGTAAATCATGAGATCGTTGAAGAACTTGGCGGTGGCTCCGTTGAAGTATTCGCCTCCGAACAAGAAGATCTCATTCTCGTTCGCTGGGTTGGCGAGGAGGGTGCTCGAAGTTCGGGCAGAGGGTGGCTCAGCGGGCACTTCGGTGATAGCATGGTGTTGCTCCTGCTCTTTTGCATACTGGGCTAAGATATCATCCAGGTCCACATCTTCCGCATCAGAGTCGACCTCCTGTGTTTTGGATGCGACCTTTTTGTCTTTCTTGCCTGCCTTCTTTTCTTGCTTAGCAGCCTTTGCAGCCTTAGCTGCTGCTTTGCCTCCCGCTGCCGCCTTCTTCTTATCTTTAGCCATTTTTCAGTTTCGAGAATGAGACGACACAGTTGTGGAAACGCAGTGTAGTGACGATTCGG